TTAAAAAAGCACCGGAAATTCTGCTTTTGGGACTCAAAATGGAAGAAGTCAATACGACTAAAAAAACTTTACTCTGGTACCTGATAGTGACAGCGAGAATGATTTATGCTCAGTTTTGGAAGACAGAAAAGGTACCAGAGGTTGAAGAATGGATACAAAAAGTTCTGTTCATGGCACAAATGGATAAGATTACAAAAAAACTGAATAACAAAGAAGACGATGAGTTTTTTGGAGAATGGAATGATTTTAAAATTTATCTGGAAAAGAACTGGGATGTGAAACAAAACTTAATATGTTTAGATCAATATTAAGTCAAACGATGTTATCTTTAGATTGTAATGATGAAAAACTGATATTGTTGATGATATGAAGTAATTTGGAGCAGGGGTGGAAGCATTGTGGGAAGCCATTGGAGGGAGGGGAGGAACTGGGAATGGGGTAGACAATTGATAGAATGAAATGTTTTATATGTTGTATTCCTGAGAAAATAAAATTTGTTTACCAAAAAAAAAAAAGAAGTACAGTTTTAAATTATAGGAGGCTTCATTCGTGGTGTAGTCATAGTGGAGCTATTACATATATCAAAACACTATTTATATTGGAACGATGCTGTTTAATATGGACATGTGTTTTAATGATAGTATATCTTGATAAAGTTGTAAGTTTATTACCAATAGACTTGCGTATGTCATTGGTCGATGACTGTCATAAGAATAAGAAAATTCATATTAACTCATAAGGATATTGTATTTAAAGCAGGAGATTTTTGCTCAGGCTCGCCGAATGAGACAGAAGAACAGGGTACATTTTAACAAATTTTAACTAGCATAATAGTTTCTGTTTACAGTTACAACATGTATCTAATTTTAACTAAATGTTAAGTAACCATTGGAATGTTATGAATTTTTTGATCTCAGATCGTAATAAACTTGATTTGACTGGACTGAATGCATGCAAGGGTCTTTTTACAAGACTTACAGCAAGTGCAGAATGTGAGATTTTCAATGGTTTTCTAATCAACTTAAAACCTTTCCTTCCAGTCCTGTTGGGGACACACCATCAGTCGCAGATAATCTTAGAAGGGCGTTTGCTTTTTAGCAGGAAAAAACAGACCCTTTAAGCAGGGCTGCATAAGAGCCTGAACAGTGAAGAAGAACTCAAACAGTTGGGACTTTTGATTGAGGAGGTTAGAGTTTTTAGGGATCTGAAAGGAGTATCTGCTATGGCACTGCTGCAAAAGTGACAGGAGGAGGCGGAGGAGACTGGATTTATACCCCGCTCTTCACTCAGAGTCTTAGAGCGGCTTACAAACTCCTTTCCCTCCCCCTCCCCACAACAGACACCCTGTGAGGTAGGAGGGGCTGAGAGAGCTCTGAGAGAACTGCTCTTTCAAGGACAGCTCTGACAGAACTATGGCTTGCCCAAGGTCATCCAGCAGCTGCAAGTGGAGGAGTGAGAAATCAAACCTGGTTCTCCCAGATTAGAGTCCGCGCACTTGTGGCACACAGGACTCAAGAGACGTTTGTTTCTGGAGTTTCATGGAGGGGGATATGTATCTAGCCTTGAAAAGCACTGGTTGCTGCTTTGTTGCTAAGCAAACCTTTGCAATGAATTCTTTTCCATTTCAATCTGCCACTTGCTCAAAGCTTTTTCTTCTGCAAAAATTGGCCTCCACAGTAGCAGGCTGGATCAACTGTTATCAACCCCACGTTTTCTGGCTACTCACTGCTACCTTTGCAGAGCAGCAAGATGAAAGCTTCTCCATCACTTTAAAGCCACCAGAATGGGGAAAGGATAGCATTTCACGCATTGGTATTACTTTTTAATGATTATGTAGCGCCACTTGTGTGGTAGGTATGATAATGTTGGTAACATGACTGTTCATCTCACAAGCCAAGATTCAATTATCGGCCTCAGGAATGGAAATTCACAGTCATGTAAAGGGGACAGCCTGGCAACAACAGATACTGTAGGGTGGTGAAAGCTAAAAAAGCATAGATCTGATCAGTCCTGGATGGGAGACCACTGAGGGCTACATATAAGATTGCTTAAGGAGGGAGGTGCAGAATGTAAGTGTAGTAAAACACTAAGAAGTTTTTGTTCAAACAGTCTAACACAGCTACAGTTTTCTTGTTCATCAAGATTGTGTTTTGGTTTTTTTAAAATCATTTATGACTCCTTCTTGGACTTCTGGAATCTTGTGAAAATGATTTTATTCTGGAAGGCATTTGGCATTTTTACTACCTGAAGCTGCAGACTTCACTGATGATCTGATTGCTGACTCCTTGGTTTTTTTTTAAATTCTTGCTACTTTTATTATAATGTCCTAAAGTTTTGATGTATTTATGATTGCTTTCTTTTGCTGTTGGCTTTAGAGTTTTTAAAAATCTTGCAAGCCTCATGTTACAAACTGCCTTGTTTGTCATTTTCATGGCAGAAAGGCATGAGATAAACTCCTTATACGACCAAATAAATGATATTCTAGACTAAGTGATAACAGCACGTCAGAGTTGCGATCCAAATGAAGCTCCACATGGCTTCACGGTGCACACAAAGCAACACTTCGAGCAGGGATACCACCATTTCCGAACACTCTGGCATAAAACAGGGAACCTCCGTTTGATGTACAGAGCAGCCTCCAATGCACAGAAGCCTCTTGCTTGGAAAGAGCTCTGCACATCCTGCCTCTAACAGTGTGGGAAATAACCTCTCTTGTCTAACTGCACATTTTATGCCCTGAATGTATCTGGGGCAGAAGTTGATGGTTTCCAATGCAAATGGAGTAATTTCCATCCAGTCTGAAATAATCTACAGAAATTTTGTCTTGAGCTGGACAGAAAAAGTGACATGTTCAAAAGAGAATATTTGGGACAGCTAACAAAGGAAATTCTAGAGAAATAGCTGCTCAGAGATCACTCAGACGTAATTATGTCAAAAACCAGATTCTGCCTCCAAGCGTGAAATCGATACTTTCTCAAAATGGCAGAACAAATGGCTCTAGATGGTTATCGCATGTTTTTCAATTATAAGTGGGGGGGCGGGGAAGAAAATGGGGAAATATTAGTGCAGCAAAGGCTGTGGCTTGCTAATAGATTTCTTTCCCACCATTTACTGAACACCAAGCTTGCCTGGCAGAATGAAATAATCTTGAAGAGCTGTCTTAATGGCTTATTAATAAAACGCATTAGATCACAGTTGGGTTTTTAAAATATTTATAGGGCCGTCATGTGAAGTAAGTCTTTGTTGAACCGCTTAAGAGGGCTGTTTCATTCTAAGTAAAAGCCACAGTAAAATATTTTCGTTTAATGAAAATGGATTGTAATACTGTGGCAAAATAACAATGTAATATTCTGGGAAGAAAGGCGAGTTCAGCTTATCCCCTAGCCACCCAAACACCTCAGCTCTGTTTGCATTTAACTTTCTTTAAATATAGTCAAGGTTGACAATTCGGCACCCAAACAATCCACATTCTGCACCAAGAAGTGATGCATTCTGCAATTACATAGCCTTTTATTCGACATAATTTATTTTGGTTTCACTATTCACGGGGAAGAGCATGAAATTGAAATCCGGTCACTGGAAATCTTATTCAGCCACCTCTCTGGCTGCAAAGATTTTAGCAGGCAGTATGTATACACATTCAAGGGCATCTTTGCAGCGATAAGGGCTAAAAACTTACTTCAGAACCCCCCCCCCCAACAGAAATGTTGAGCTCCTCAAGGGCCTAGATAGGATCAGTATCACAGATCATCATTCGTTTGGTGTGGTGCAGTGGTTACGAGTGTTGGCCTAGGACTGGGGAGACTCAGGTTCAAATCCCCACTCTGCCATGGAAGCTTGCTGGGTGACTTTGTGCCTGTCACTCACTCTCAGCCTAATCTGCCTCACAAGGCTGCTGTAAGGGTACAATGGAGGAAAGGAAAACAATGTAACTCACCCATTGGGGAGAAAGGTGGGGTATAAATGAATTAAATTTAAAAAGTACATAAATGCAGCCCCAATTTGGATTAGGGCCATACAGGGAGGTGAGAGGAGTCTTACACTTTCATTTGATTTCACTAATCAAGGCAGGGCCCCCCCCCCCCCCCCCCCCCCCCCCTCCCATACAAGAGCCCCCCCCCCCCCCCCGGTGATTATCACTTTAAAAGGGAAAACATGGCAGGGTTGAATCTACAGAGCAATACCTGTGACATCATTAATTATAAGCAACGATACATCCATCTCCCTCTTCCAAAATACTTCCATTTGTCAGCTACTAACTACAGTCTAAGCTCAGTTCACTGCATTCTGAGTAGACGTCTGCCTGTTGGACTTAATTTCAAAGAGAACGGCTTCCAAGCTCTTTTACTTACCCTTGTTTTTCTTTTTCATCCGGATGGTTGTTTTTTTAAACGAAACTGCAATATCGTGATAGACTAGAAGCAGAAAGGAGAGCGTTATGGAATAATGCCTGCTAAACATGATGACTCTCCAGCTAAGCTAAATAAAAGCTAATCACTGTATGAAATCTCTCTTTGGGAGAAAAGCAGGCTACAAATGCTTTAAAGCTGGAGAAAGTTCTGCAGGGTGAAACTTCACTAACTTCAATGAAAGCTAAGCATTGCACTTATTGTACATTTCCTGCACAGAAAATACTCGACAGTAGGATAGAGACAGTATTGCAGTACACTTCTCAAAGGTGAAACATGAACATGCATTATTGCCACATGCGACACCATTGGGATTCATGATTGTGCCTTCATGGAGATATTTTTCATGCTGGAAACGCATCAGGTGCAAAGCAGCTTTTAGTGTTTTCTGATCTGCCGTAACTACCTTCCCTCTGTAGGCCAATGCAAAAATATTTGGAATAAAATACACACATGCTCACACAAACACATTTGTCTTCAACCTGATCCAAACACGCACATACCGCTTTAGATTTCCCATCCCTTGATTCCATCAAGGCCTGTTAGTTGGATGTATGAACTGACCTACCTACATTTGGGATATTTTCCTTGTGCACTCAAGTACACACCTGCTACAGTCAATTAAGCGGCTAGGAGTTCTAGTGTTGGTCCGAACCTTTGGAGCCAAGGCATTGAAACACACACTTTGAAGAAATCAGAAGTTTTACATAGACATTTAGAGAAGCAGAGCAGCTAGCAGGCATTTTAAATTTCCAACTGATAAGCAACAGAAAGAGTCTGAAAAGTCTAATACTCACTTGTGTGGTCTTCATATCTTTCAATATAGTGTAAATAGTGAATTGCTTTGTTCTTTGCCTAGAAGAAAAGTACAAGAATAGACACTTTTATTAAAAAATAGTCAAACATTTACTATTTCAATTTCACAGCTAATCAAATAAAAATATAGAGGATGAAGCATTAAAATAAAGCTATTGTTGCCAGCAATGTGTTGTACTGAAAACTAATTAGCTTAATAAACTAAAAGGGATTCCAAATGAAGTTATAAAGTGGCACCTAACTGTGCTTAATTCAGGGTTTTTTTTAAAAAAAATCCACACGTTACCAGCATGCCTTCCCACTCATGCCAAGTCAGTTACTTGTGGATAAAAGAATCAAATTTTCCTAAGGTTTTCCTGATGCTTCATCTGGAGGAGACAAGTTTGTGCCACAGTCAACCAGCCCAGGGGGCCATGTCTCAGACTCTGGAGAGCTGCTGCAATTCTAAGCAGATAGGAGTTAAATGGTCCAATAGTATAAGGCAAGGAGGATATGCAAGAAACATGAATGCTCCAGGGAACACAACACCATGTCCTGTGCGCTGGGCCTAGACAGAATATAGACATTGAGAGCTGAGACAGTAGCTCTCTCTCTCTCAGTTGGTGGGGTATAGAATCATAGAATGTTAGAGTTGGAAGGGACCTTGCAGGTCATCCAGTCCACTCTGCAGGAGCACAGCCGAAAGACCTACATACCTACAACATACCTGAAAGATGGTTGTCCAGCCTCTGCTTGAAAACATCCAGTGAAGGAGCATCCACCACCTCCCGAGGCAGACTTTTCCACTGCTCAACCACTCTTACAGTTAGGAAGTTTCTCCTGATATTTAGCTGGTAATGACTCCCTTGTAATTTCCACCCATTAGATTTAGTCTTGCAATCCGGAGCAAGAGAGAATAGATCTGCTCCATCTTCTACATGACAGCCCTTCAAATACTTGGAAGACTGCAATCATGTCCCCTCTAAGTCTTCTCTTTCCCAGGCTAAACATACCCAATTCTTTCAGCCTTTCCTCATAAGACTTGGATTCAAACCCTCTCACTAATTTGATAAGCATCCCCTCTATGTCTCCTCTGCAGAATGGGTCTGGGCCCTGGCAACTGCCCAGACATGCTGACTTCTGATGCCAAGCAGAATTGGCCGTTTTCCCTTCTGCGCCAGCAACAGCCACAGATATAGCTGCATCTGTGCCGAGGACCTTACAGAAAGGGGTAGTCCCATGCAGTCGTGAACAATCTTTCTCTTAAGGCCTGTGAAAGGGGCATTTCACAAGCGGTTTGTAATATGGCATGGGGGAGGGTTCAGCTGTTCACAGAAAATAAATTTAAAAAAAACCTGTTGAGGAAAACCTTTGCATGAACCTAAACAGCCCTTTGGATATTGGCCCACATGAAGCAGCTGGGGATATGACTGTGTAGAAATGCAGCTCTGAGCAAGGGGACTCATGGGGAGAGACACTCAGAAATGCTTTTCGGAGCCAAAAATAAGAGCAACGGGGGAGCTTCCATGGTCGCAGCGAGATCTGTTCTGCACATACCCACAGCCTATGAGTCCCGGGACTCCCATGAAGCGTGTGTGTAGAAGTGGCGGAGACAGCAACAGGGAAGAAGGGAAGAAGTTTCTGGGCCGGAGGAGGCACCGCATACGGAGGGAAGCCTGAACAGTATTCAAACCTAACAAGGTATAAATGAGCGGAACTTAATTATCATGGACTAGAGTTTATTTTTTTAGATGACTTACTTTTCGTAATGCAGCCATCCTGTCAGTTGCTTTTCCCACTGCGAAACCTGAGGGACACAAGTGGATTGGTTAGTAAGCAGGAACGCTCCAGCTGGAAGCTGGCAAAAATATGCAGATGTCTCCATGCTTCATCCCCATCAATAACACCAGCAAGCGTGTCACAAGGTGCTCTCCCATTTTTTTGCTTTGTTTCCCTTAATGACTCTAAGACACCAGGAGACACAAATCTATCTTCTGTCTTATTATTATTCTGCCTTTCCTCTAAGGGGCTCCAGATGGTGTGCCCGGTCCCCACTCCTCTGTTTTATCCTTACAACAAGAGGTATGTCTTTCCTTGCTAAATGTGCATTGAAGCGTATTTCCTAAGTAAACTGCTGACAGTTTATTAAAATCAATTTTGTCAGGGCTCTTTTCAAACAGGGATAAGTTAACCCCTGTATGTTGCAAAGGCGAAAGTGCCCTTTAAAGTCAATAGGTTTTAAGAAAATAAGAAGAGCCCTGCTGGATCAGACCAGTGGTCCATCGAGTCCAGCATCCTGTCTCACACAGTGGCCAACCAATTTCTCTTGACATCTAACAACAGGGCGTGAAGGCTGAGATGTTTCACTGATGTTGCCTCCTGGCTCTGGGATTTAGAGGTTTACTGCTTTAGTCACCATGGTTAGGAGCCACTGCTAGACCTATCCACCATGAATCTGTCTAATTCCACTTGAAGGCTGTCTACACCTGTGGCCATCATTACATCCTCTGGCAGAGAATCCCACAATCACTCATTGTGCACATTACATCCTCTGGCAGAGAATCCCACACTGCAATCACTCATTGTGTAAAGAAGAATTTATTTTTGTCTATCCTGAACCTACTGCCCATCAGCTTCATTGAATGTCTTTGAGTTCTAGTATTTCGGGAGTAGGAGACAAGAAGCAGACTTCTACTGGGGGGGGGGAGGCTTTCCTCCCATCTATAAAACATGCACAATAAGCTCAGTTGTCATTTTAAAAAGTCTGAACAAGTGCCAATGCAAGCTAACAAAACCAAATGACTGATTTAAAAAACCCTGTGTGCATAAAATGCATAGCGACAGTTCCAGTTCACACGCTCTTTGATTCATCCTCCTCCCCGCTTCCTAGGTGTGTTCTTCACTGGCAGGAGTTTTCTGCTACTGTCACTCACAGGGCAGCTGCATGAGCCTAACAGCGCATATCAGCATTGGCACTCAGCGGAGGCAGGGATGGTGGTAACAGTGGGGGCAGACCGAACTGTAACAGTAGTAGTAGAAAACTCCTAACTTTAAAATCAAATGTTCAGGGTGTTCAGTGCACTTTTACAACCGCCCCACACATATATAGTCTCACTATTTTTTACAACAGCCCTTTAAGATAAGTCAGCACTATCATTCTCATACTGCAGGAGTGAGGCTAAGAGAGGGATTTCAACAGGGACTTGAAGCTAGCTCGCTTTTTTAGCTGTTATGCACTTCCTTAGCTTGCTGGCATTTTCAAGGAGGAGTGGCAAACTGTCATGATGCGCCAGAAGAACAACAGCTCGATACCGCCGGGAAGGAAGCCAGCCAGACCGGAATAAAGAGACATCTACCTCCACCTGGGGTGCCGGTAGGCTGTCCCATTCCCCGTGGAAAAATGTGGCCTTAGTTAGGGTTAAAATTGTGACTAGCACCCTTCATGTAAACCACCCAGAGACCCCTACGGGGGTTAGGGCTAAGAGAGGGATTTCAACAGGGACTTCAAGCTAGCTCGCTTTCTTAGCTGTTATGCACTTCCTTAGCTTGTTGGCATTTTCAAGAAGGAGTGGCAAACTGTCATGAGCAGGGGCCAGAGCTCAGTGGCAGACCATCTGCTTTGCACGCAGAAGATTCCAAGTTCAATTCCCAGCATCTCCACTTAAAAGGGTTAGGTAAGAGGTGATACGAAAGACTTTCACCTGAGATCTTGAAAAGCTGCTGCCGGTCTGAGTAGATAATACTGATAAACCAGAGGCCTGACTGTATACGGCAGCTGCAAGTGTTCTATATCTTGCTGTTCCCTAGGACTGAAATATCCACTTACCAGCAGCTCCTTTTCCATTTCCCACAGCCACCAGGGCACTAACAGATTTTTTTCTTCCTTCCTTTGCTGTCATATTAAATACATTCTTCATCTGAAAAGAGACGGGGAAAAATTGCAAAGAGACTGACATTTGCTACTTATTTAATAAAGAAAGTCTAAAGAAGTGGTCATTTCTTCCTAGATTATTGAACTTTTGTGATAAGGATGCTCTTTTGTGTTTGGGCTCAACATGGAGCAGAGTTTTGTTTTACTTTATTTTTATTATTAGGTGCAGAGTGCACAATGTCCCTGGCAGATGGGTAGGCTGATAAATCAGGAGGCCTCCTGATAACCTTGCCTGTTAAAAGGCTGGAACAAAGAAAATAAAAAAATGGGGTTTTTTTTTGTCTGAAGTTATGCCTCCTGTAATACTTGACGCTTCACACTTCATTGCAGTTACCAGGCTGAAGAAATATCACTGCACATTAAAAAAGAAATGCAGCGAGACATCAAATCCTTGCTTTATTTCATTTTATCTGCTGACATGTTTGTTGAGGTGGCGAGTTAACCCACTGTGCCATTTGAAGGCAGAGATTGGAAATTTCTTTTCAGCTGGCAGAGCATGGGGAGTACTGATACAGCTGTGGCTATGGATGTGCTAAAATGCAGGATATGGGGAGGAGGGAACAGTAGCAGATTTGCAGAGCTACAAAGACACCAAGCACCGACCGCACCAGCAGGGAGGAATCAGTCCCTCAAATGAGGTTCAAATCCCTGGCATTTTCAGTGAAAGACTCTCTCGGGTGTTGGGGAGTACCATTCTATGCCCAAGACCCTGCAGAGCCAAAGCAGACAATGCTGCACTCTGAGGTAAGGTAAAATCCCACTGCTGAAAGAAAGGGCTGCCTGCCAAACCCATATCCAGAAGAAGGGTGAGGATGGATGCTTCCCATGTGCAGACTCCTAGGTCCAAAGTTTTGGATCTCAGGTAGCTCAAGAGAGCTAGTTCCAAACAGTTACATGGCCTTTTATTCACTGGGCGATTCGTGTGTTCAAAACAGGTTTGTGGGATTTCATGGGGAAACATCAACCACACTACTGCTGCATGTACATGGGACAGCGTTAAGCCAGGCAACACAACACTCCCCTCAGTCGAGATTCCACTGCTGTTGTGCTTGCTGGTGTGGAAGGTGGTTGTGACAGCATCATAGGTTACGCGTTGGCTAAAGGTTCTTTTAGACATTCTTTGGAGGTTTTCGAACAGAGGCTAGATGGCCATCTGACAGCAATGCGGATTCTGTGAACTTAGGCAGATCATGAGAGGGAGGGCAGGAAGGGTTGCCTCAGTGCTTAGTTCTTGTGGCCCTTTCTTACACACCCAGGGAAATGCTGATCGCCACTTTGGGGTCAGGAAGCAGTTTTTCTCCAGGATCCTGGAGGTTTGTTGTCATTTTCTGGGGATGGAACAGGGGTCACTGGGGGTGTGCGGGGAAGGTATTTGTGAATTTCCTGCATTGTTCAGGGGGTTGGACTAGATGACTCTGGAGGTACCTTCCAACTCTATGATTCTAGTATCTGTGACATCATCAGTGACAAGCAACACAACTTGGCAGACCATATCTGAACTATCTGGGCATCTTTATAAGCAGCAGAGCATCTGCTTTGCATGCTGAGGATCCCAGGTTCAATCCCTTGCATTCCACATCATCTGGCAGGTGATGTGAAACACCTCTTAAGAGACCCTGGAGAGCCGCTGCCAGTTAGCGTGGACAATACTTGACTTTTGATGGACTCAGTAGACAGCAGCTTTATGTTTTTCTTTATGTCCTCTACCCAACCTTGGGGTTTAAACCATTTTCTCAATCTGCCACTTCCATTAGGCAATGGAAACGGAGAACACGCTGTTAAGGAGCAAATTTAAGGAGCAATTTAATGCATCATTAATTTTTTTTAGCAAAATACGAAGGCAGAAGCTGTTGAACTGAGAAAAAATATCATGCAGCATCATTAAGATTGAGTTATAAAGAAAGAATGGAATAAATTTTTATATGGCGTTATAAGTATCTATGTTAAAGTCAGAATTTTCAACGTAAGAATTTAGTAGAGGAAGAGAAAAAATGAATTAAATCTTAATTTCAGTGCCCTCCTGCCTCAGTTTCAGTGGCTTCATTCGAAAGACACATTACTTAAAAATTAAAATGGCTGAAGCCCGTATTCATAAGTAGAATACCCCACAATGCTTTTTGTCCCCGCTGAGGAGCCTGTTCTATGAAGATCTGTCTAGGGGAATATAATCCTGAGGGTAGCTGCATAAAGGGGACACGACATTGCATAGTGAGCGGCTTAATGCGTGTGTGGTAACGTGGAACTGGTTGCACGTGGACTTTCTGAGAAGGGAGGGAGCTTTTGAAAAAAAGAAGAGCAACACAAGGTCTGGTTTCAGGAGATACGATCAGCTAACCTTCCCCTGATCAGACCCACTGTAACAGCAGCTGCTGGTTCAACAGGACCCCAGCTCAGTCAACTAATCCTCTGCTACCTGAGAGCTTGCATGCATTCATCCTTCTTAATAATGTAACTCTTTATAGCCTAAGTATGCATCCATAGGAAATCTGGGTTTTAATAGGAAGCCCCCCCTGCCCCTTTTGTGAGAATTCACTAGTTGATATATGAAGTTCATCAAATGATTTACATGGGGGTCGGGGAACAGTCAGTCCCCCAAAGGAGACTAAAGTCTCTTTTGCAAACTGAACGTTCCCCTTTACTGGCATGCTGTTGTGCTCATAGATATCCAGGCCAGTACAAACAGGATACTCTCAACTTTTTAACGATAGCTAAGAGGTTGGGAGTTGCCCTGAACATCACATACTCCCCTGTGCAAATCCCTCCCCTTCAGCTCAACCATGTTTCAGTGTTACATCAACAGCATCAAAGCTAGCTGGTGACCCCTCTTAACCATGATTTGAAGATGGTTAAAAAAATCCTAAAATCCAGTCAGTGGATTGGATAACACGAAGGCAACCTGGACCCTTCTGTGTGTGGACCCTTCTGAGTGTGGATATGCCCCTTCCACCCAGGTTTCCGTCCCATCCAGGCCTGCCAACCTCCGGGGGGGGGGGGGGGCTGGAAATCTCCTGGAATTACAACTGATCTCCAGACTACACAAATCACTTATTTATTACCTATGTATTTAAATATTCATTCCACTTCTCCTGGAGAAAGGGGCTGCTCTGGAAGGCGGACTGCATGGTGCTATACCCTGCTGAGGTCCCTCCCCAAACCCCACTCTCCCAGGGTCCACCCTCAGATCTCCAGCTATCTCTGAACCCTGAGCTGGCCACACTATCCCCACCTCTAGATAGCCACACAAGGCTTTACTGTCTGATTTGGACATATGTGTGTCCGCACAACATGGTTTGTTTCCTAATAAAATCTAGGAATCAACGCAGGGCGAAACAGTGCGATCAGTCCGCTTGGGTGCCTAATTTGGATGTTAGGTCCTGTTGAGGATGCCTCTAACTGGAGCAGGCACATATTCAGGGGCTCAGTCACCTTTGTAGCTGTCTGATCTAGCCCAGATTTAATCAAGGTTGAACCAAGGAAATGGGATTTGAAGGAGATGTAAAGTTCCTCCGCTTTGTTCCAGAAGGTGGCAACAGCAGCACATGGAAAATAAGTCAGCCAAGCCACTGGAGATGGTTGGGGGGGAGGAATACCAAACTCCCCTTGTCAGCTGTTTCTAAAGGGAAATGTGCCCAGTCACCCATTACAATCAGAGCTATCACATCTCTCTTAAAACTCTTAAAGGCCTTTCAGGGTTGACAGTGTGCACAGCCGAGTACTGTTACTACATCAAATGTCCAATGTATTTCCCCTACTGAACAATGGCAACATTCTCTCTCCCTCTCTCACTTTCTAGGCACAATGCATACAACTGAAAACATTCAGGCTGCGTTTATACAATATTCCAGTATATGCTAGGGCTTATGTGCATGAATTCTGTGGCCTCTTATCTGTTCCCTTATTTCACAAAAGTATTTTATGCTGTTGGTTTTATGAATTTGTTGTATTGTTTTTAATCTATAAACTGCCTCAGGTATGTCTTTGGAGAAGTGGCGCTTATAGGTGCTTGCTAGTTTGCATGTCATCAGGCTGCCCATGGCAATTTTTTTTTAAAATATTACAAATTCTTAATTCAATATCTGAATCGTAGAACATAGAATCAAGTATTCTTTTTATCTCTGGTGGGTAGTCATGTTGCTCTGAAGCAACAAAACAAAGTTGGGAGTCCAGTGGCACCTTTAAGACCAAAAAAAATTAATTATGGGTATAAGTGAGAACTGAGTGACTTAGCATGTACAGACACGCACTTCTTCAGATTGAAACAGACTTCCTCAAGCATTACATATAGGTGGAGAGAGGTACCTCCAGCTGCCATCCTAAATATACCAAACAATCCATTGTATGCGCTATGCCACAGCCACATCTGTTCCAATCATACAGACAGATTCTCACCTGAGGGATCTACAACAAAACTTTTTGGAACTAAAGTATCCACTTGATGAAGCCAAGAAACAGATTAATAAAGCCAGAACAATACCGAGAGCAAACCTGTTGCAAGACAGGCCCTAAAAAGACAATAACAGAACACCACTAGTGGTCACATACAGCTTTTAACACAAAACAGTTCAATGCATCATCAGCGACTTACAACCTCTACTGGATAAAGACAGTTCTCTTTCACAAGTATCAAAGGGCAAACCTTTTCTTGTGCGCAGACAGCCCCCAATCTTAAACAACTCCTCACCCACAATAATACATCATCTAATTTGAACATGGACACTGGTACCAGAACTTGCAATAAACCCAGATGCCAACTTTGCCGCCACATACACTGGACCTAACGACATCAACTACACCATCTTAAGCTTCTGTTTGTTAACTCTTGTATTATCTGTATGCTAATTTGCTGCTATTCACAGATCTTACAAACCGCTTTAATCCAATCTTTGCTATACTTATCACTCAGTTACTTATGCATCTTGACTCTAAGTAGCCCTTCCTGGCAACTAACTCCCCCCATGCCTATATGTAAGGCTTGAGGAAGTCTGT